TTCGCAACAGCTTCATTGAATTTACCGCCAGTTGTAAGCTGATAACAGGTTTGTAGGCTTGCAGCCAAATCATTGAGATGTAAGTTAACAGCCGGTAGTCCACTTCGACCACTACCATCCTGCCAGTTACGCAAACGATAAACAAAATTCGGACCAGCACTCGGCAGACCTTCGTAAGCAGCACGTGATCTGGGATCATTAATTACAGATAATTCTCGAAAATTCATTTTAATCCGACATTCATTACATAAATTTGTCCCCATAAAACCGTATTTAGGAATGAATTATTTGCTGCCATTTCTGAGAAGATCGCGGCAAAAAAGCAAAAAAATAACCGCAAAAGAAAAGCAAAAAATAAACTGAATGTCTGTATTTTAATCATGGTATATTATGTTGCTAACTGACCTTGCATAAACTGTTAAGAAAAGTTGTTTGAACGGTTCAATGCGAGTAATACCAAATTGATCACATAATAAACGTGCGGCACTATCAAAGGCTCCTGAAGCAACGTGATCAGCAACCAACCTAAAACGTGTTTGATCAATGAATATGTATTTTAGCACCAACAAACAAAACAACTTTAATACTAAATGAATTATGCTCCAGAAAATAAAGAACCACGTTTTAAGAGATATTTTTATTTTAATAGTGAGAATATTTTTAGAGCTATGTGAGTGGCAGATATTATCACCTGCTATTATTGAACACTATTTTCAGTCAGTTTTAAGGAAATTTGACTTCAATCAAATTCTTGGGAGTGAAAGAATTTTTCAAAGGAAAATCCAACTTATCATCACCATTACCTGGAATTGTTCGGCCAATAAACTGACGGTGCCTGCCCACGTGATGGTGGTGTATAAAAATTGTCGTCATCATCTCCTCCAGATTTAATATCAACATCGGGAGGGAGAGATAAATCATCNACTTATCATCACCATTACCTGGAATTGTTCGGCCAATAAACTGACGGTGCCTGCCCACGTGATGGTGGTGTATAAAAATTGTCGTCATCATCTCCTCCAGATTTAATATCAACATCGGGAGGGAGAGATAAATCATCATCTACCTGGAATTGTAGAGTAATCGAAAACTATGATCAGCTTCAACACATTGTCAAACATACCCAGGTTTTACATCAATGATATCAACTTTAGTGAGACTCAACTCCATGCACCTTACAGCCTCAATTTAACTCTGTTTCGGATTATTTGCGGCGATCAGATAATTTGGATGTAGATGTGAATAAATCAACATTTCCTTGGAATCACAAAATTTTTCCAGGGAAATTCCGTTTTCTAAGCAACAATTACAATTAAATTTAATCATTATATGCCTCTTCAATCTTAATTTAAATGTACATGGAGGAAAATAATCAGCACTTACATCCCAGCCACCTTCTTTATTTTCTTTCTCACTTGTAGCGCTGTGCATTTCATCTTCATCGATATCCGGATTACCCTCCTCATCCAGCATCAAATCATCACCACCCCAAGCATC